TTTTTTTGTTAAATTAAAAAAGTTTTTTTCTCTTTTTCGAAAAACTTAATTTTTTTTGGTTATTACTTTAGAAGTAAGGAACGATATTATCTATTATATTTTAATATTAAAAAAATTCAATATTAAAAAGTAATATAGATATAGTAATATTTTTATAACAATTTATAGCAACTTATAATATTCTTTTCAATTTCTTGAGGATAACCAAACAACATTATCAGGTCTGTTCAACTCCCAAATAAATATTTATTTTATTTTAAATGCCAAATTTTTTTGAGATTTTAAGTTACGCGAACAAATCTGTTATCAACAATATTTTCTGTTTTTCTTTCCAAAAAAACATCAGTGTGGATGTAACACAATATGGTGTCTATTAATTCTCATCGTGTTAATATCAATATTAATATGATGTGAATTTAATCATGAATTTAAAATCCATACTATGATAACATTGATACAAATACCAAGAATTATAAATCCATACCAATATTTTTTGTAGTATATGTAGATAAAGAATTCAAAACAACAGATAAATCGCATTATCATACATACTTTTTATGATATATACAGAGACAGGGCAAGCGGGCTATTAGATCTCCAGATTGTAACTCTTCCAAACAAATGACACATTCGCCTTTTCCATCCGTCAGCACATCTTCTGTCATGGAAATAAGCAAAGGCGTTTACTTAATTACTATCCTAATAATTACCACCAGCTAATTAATTAAATCAGATGAGCACCATTTCCGAGGCAAACGATTCCGTTGACTAATAAACAAGGGAAATTTAAGAAATGGTATCTATTATTAATTAAGATAGATATACAAGTTTGTCACCATTCAGTCCACTTACCATTGTAACTGAGCCGTGGCTTGGTCAGGCACATGACCAAGTGACACTCGATATCATCCGGCAGAATAAACTTGGAGCATACAGGACACTTTAGACCTTGAACATGAAGGCGAAGAGTGTCAGAAGAGACAGAATGATAAAAACAGGCGAAGAAGAGTGAGGAAGAAAATCAAGGGGGATTGCAAATCGGAAGAACGCAAATACCGTAAAAAACTCGTCTGACCCGATCCACCGGAACCACAGCCTCGGCCTCGTGCTCGTTCAGGCACGAGCTCACTATAATTCCCATAATAGACCCGACATAACCTCAGCCGTGGGCCGCTGTTTCGCGCGGCGATCCTCTTCCGAGCCTCATCTTTCCCACCCGCGTGCGATTTTCACGCGAGAGCTGAAATCTGACACGCCCTTTCTCCTCGTTCTCCTTTTTACGCCACGGATATTTCTCGTCGATTCAAAATTTACCCAGGCCCCGCTGATGTGTCCTCGGGCTATCATCGATTGTGGTACGCGGTTACCGGGCCAACCATCCCGGCAACACGCGTCAAAACAAACGCCCCCTGTCCCACCCGCGAATCATCGTCGCGCACCAACTTCGTCCGCGGAGCTTTCGCGGTTGCGCGACCTAACCTCGCTTTTTTGCGGCGTTCGCCTCGCAATTAGGTTAGAGACCGCCGATTAAAGCCCTGCGAGAGCGAGATCCTTTAAAACGCGTCTCTCGCCTGGTGGTACAGATTGAAAAATAATCCTGTCACGCGAATAAACATAAAACAGATGAACGGACGCGCGACAAATGATTGGCTAACAAACGATCAGATGACTTAGTCTTGACAATACCGTTTGTACAGGGCTCTTTCTCTTGATAAAGAATAATAAAGAATTGTTGAATGATTCACGTGTCAATGATACAAAGACAATTTGTTAACTCTCAGCGTCGTAGTAAGAATTGCAGCAAGTTTGACGATCTGGAAGCGAGCAGTTTCCAGGTCCAGTCTGTAGACAGATGCATAAACACGTAGATGGGACTTGGGCTTACCGTTAAGGGACCAAATGTGCGAAGGCAAGCTGTGAGCGGCGTAGACGCGACCACTTTCCTCGTCGGTGTCATCGGAGTCGAGCTGTGGTAGTCCGAGGGCCTGGCCAACTCCTACCCCGACCGAGGTGGAGAGGCTAGCCTGCTCGGCGGAGGAGAGATCCGGCACGGAACTCAGAGAGCGTGCACGCTGTCTACTGTCTCCGGATATACGCGAGTTCTGCGACTGATTGGCCTGCTGGTGTTGATGCTGAAGCATACTCACGCCACCAGGCAGAGAGCGAAGCATAGAGAAGCCCTGCATCGTGGTCTCATTGGCACCAGTGGAGGACTGACCGTTGCCACCAGCGGATTGTGCCACGGTACTCGCCTTGGCTCCCATCACAGCTGAGATGATTGTTGGAAAATCGTCACCACGTGTGTGTGTATATCGTCCCGCGTTCCACCTCCACTGTCCACCTAATTCCGTCCGACTTCTTCCCTGACGATTAAATTCACCTGTCCGCTCGGTACGACCGGGAAGAGAAATGAAAAAAGAGGAACGCGACTCCCGGGATTACGGATACCTTCAGGTCCTGGCAGTGGTACGCGCGCATACACATACACTGTGGTACCAGTCCTCGGCGCCTTCGTCTCGTCTTTTACTCTCTTCTGCCCTCGGTCTATCTTGTACTCCCCAGTCCCCGCTCGGCGACGGCGTCGGCGTCGGTGGCGAGTGACGACTGGACGACCTGGCACGGTCCCACCGGCGGCGCGACGCTTTTACAGCACCTTGGGATTTAACTTAGGCCGGAATTTAGCTGACGGGCGCCACAACAAGCAAGTCATTTCGTCCGCGAACATACCAGCGGCTCGTAGCACAAAACATTCCCCGACATCTTAAACTTCCTAGATGTCAACACGGTCGGCTCGCGCAGACACTCCACTCCACTCCTGCGCGTGCAACTTTGCAGCTACGAGATAACTCGATGGATCGTATCACGCGTATCGTGAAATGACGTGAAGTTCCTGCTTAAAGGGATGAGAGATACGAAACGGCGAATCTGATTGGCGACGCCATGATGATGACACGATTACGAAGCATTCCAAAGTACTGAATGCGATTGTTTAAAAAAAATGTTTTCTTTTATATTCTCTTAGGTTCTTTTTTTACATCTCTTACTTTCAATCCGACTTATGTTTACATTCATACTTGATATTATTTGGAGAAACTTTCGAATAAAACATCAATATAAAAGATAAAATATAAATAACAGATGAAAAAATATTTTTTAATTTTTCTAAACATTTTGAGAACATCTAGATATAACAAATTAATTCCAAAAATGTCGAACTTCAAAACACTAATTCACCTTAACCTCGTCTTAAGTAATTTTTAAGATATAGCTGTGTGATTAGTTTATGATATCTTAAGATTTTAAATAGAACCAACTATGAATATCAGCTTAAGCACGAGTTATGTGAATACGTATGAACAGAGCTTAAGGAGGCCTAGATAATAGAAATCTCGAAGAGGGAAGTTTGAAATAAAATGTAAATCATATTACAAATGTAAAAATAATATAATATAATAATATAACAATAAATTATTTAACTATATTTTTTTAAACTAATTATCAAAAGTATTATTCCTTTGTCTCAATTAAATATGTAACACATACTTGTTATATTTATTATTACCAAATAAAAAATTTTTCAAGCAAGAGAATTCTAAGGCCGATATTCGTAGTCGGTTATTATTTTAAGATCATCTTATGTAATATCTTAAGATATTAATATGATTTGTAATTGACTACGACATTTGAAAAATGTACTTAAGACGGTCATATATTACCTTATTTTACATATATTAAATATAAGAACCAACTACCGACCTAAGAATTCTTTAAAACATCTCTCGGCATTTTCTTAAGCTGTAAAGAAAACGACACCTCACCTTATCAATATAATCCATTAATCTTTAATGTGAAAATATCCGACAGAAATATTAATCACACAACATATACCAAAAATTTATGTATACATATATTTATATATATACCTTTTGTCTTATAAATATGAAGTATATATATATGTACAGTTTAATCGATATAAAAATATCTAAAGATGTCTTGCAATCTTTATATACGTACAATAGGTTTCAAAACGGCGAAAATGGCACGTAGTTGGTAAAATAATTAATTAGTAGTTTTGACATAGGTTACGAGTATCAGCCTTTGAATCGGGGCTCAAAGAGCTCCAAGGGGTGTCGAGACACTTTTGTAGCTTCGATTCGGACCGAATCTCATGATCAGCATCGCACATTTCGTCGATCTCGTAGTGCTCGTATACTAATCTGTCCAGCCAATCGTCGAGGTCCTCGCCGATCCTATTTTGACTGTGTGTAATCTGCTCATTCACTATCGCGGATTTCACTAACTTCGACCAGCTTTTATTCATTTCCTCTGTAATATGATAGACAGTGCTCGGACCATCTATTATCTCCTTCGCCTTATCCAAGTCTATCCTCTTGGTCTTCCAATAGGACAACGGAATTACCAAGAATTTTAATTTCGCTATCAGTTGAGTGTCGGCAACTAATAATAGTCGCCAAGTACCAACGGCTAATTGTTCGTTTAGCTGCGGCTTAACATGTCCTACCTGAAAAAAAAAAAAAAAAAAAAACAACAACAAACTTGTTCTTTTCAACTGAACTTCTTGCACCGTTCATTTTTTCTCTTTTTCCTTCAACGTAAGGAGAAAAAGAAAAATGAACTGTGCAAAAAGTTTAGCTGAAAAGAACAGTTCTATTCATGAAGTTACACAAGACCTAGTTATGAAATAAAGGGGAAAAAATTTTAAAAATTCCAACAGCAAGAAAACATTTGATGTTGCATATGATAGTTACCAAGGTCATTTCTTCGAGTAGTATGTGATTCATATCGGCGAGGCGGCCGTGCGGATCAATCCATAGGATTGATACATTCTGCGGTATTGTAATACCCGCGTCAAACTCATAAGCCAAGACCGGAGTCGAATACGGCCCTATACTACCCATCAAGTTTCTAAATGTCTGTTCCTTTTGATCGTAATCCGTGCTAACAGAGAGACTTCGTATCTTCCCCGACCATAATCTACTAGCGGAAAAATTGTGTCGCATAGAGATCAAAACCTCCACACGTCTCGCGCGACTGTTAGGCAGTGCGGATACATCGGAGAGTTCCTTTTTACTCTCCGTCAGAATTAATATACCAGCGAAATGGTTCTCGCGAAAGTATGCAGTATTTTCCAGCAAGCGAATATTTTTGTGATCCATGTTCAGTTTGCGATAAACTAATCTCGCCAAGGAATACGAGAGAGTTAGCAATGCATCATCCGGTAGTGGACTCAGATCCGCATGATGATACAGACTTTGCCAATACATATCGTAGCCTCGTGATCTAATTGTTTTGTTCACTCGATCGGGATACAGCCATTCTTCCAAGCGGTCTATAATTCTATAATCGATAACAGGTTCGAATTTACGGGCAAAGAATATATTGCGATCCGCCGTGTTTCGTAGCCGATTAAAATCCTCGAGTTTAAAATCGTTCGGACTACATCCGCACCAATCCACCACGGCCTTGTACTGACACTTGCAACCCAACTTTCTCTTCCAATTAGTCATGTGTAGATTATTGTCTATGTAAGTATTGCAGAATCGTGAATTTCTTATAACCGTGTGAAAGAATGACTCAGCTGGCAGCAAGGTATATTTGAAGAGTTTTAAAAGATTGGATACCAGCTGATCAGGATTTGGACTGGCGACGTATTCGACAAAGTCTCGACTCAAAGCAAACCAGTCGCTACCACCATCGATTTGAATACCTGTAAAATTAATAAAACATTGTACATAATAATTACATACACGCACATACATATACATATATGCAGGCAGGTTTATATCGATGTTATTTATCTTAAGAAATAATCTTTCAATATATCATATATTGAATTATAGGTCCACTTAACATTACTGTTGGTCAATTAAATACTTTGAAGCATTCAATTGACCAACTGGAAGAAATAATTTTTATTTACTAATGAACTAATTAAAGAATACTTCAAAGCATTTTTAGCATCAAATGAAACCTTTAACATTGGAATGCTCTTTGATGCTTGAAAAATTCAAAACAGATAATGCTAAACAATTCTAAGGACAATATTTATAGTTGTTTATCTATCTTTAAAAAATTTTTATTGCATATATGCAATTTCTATAAGCATGTTAGTAGTGCATATACCAATATCAAATAATGGAATATCGTTTTAAAGACCAGATCCGCATGATGATACAGATTTTGTATCAATATAAAACAAAATTAACAGAAAAACATAAGCAGTAAGCAATAAATATAAATGAATTTACCAAACAGTGCTCAAAAAATACTTTAGTAAAAAAAATGTGTACAAGCTATCGATAAAAATCGTATATGAAATAAAAATATATGAACTTTTAAAAATACATGATTTTAACATACCATCTGGTAATTTTCGATCACCGATTCGCCACATGCGTGCTTCACATTCGACAAAAGTCTTGTCTAAACCTTGTTTAGCTATAAAACGTTGAACTTCCCTTCCGTGCGACTTCGCAAAGTTCATACCCTTGTTCCAACTGAGAAATTCGATCAGCTGATTATTGCTTTTCAAAGGAAAGTCGGATTCCGATAGATTTACGAGAAAATCCCAGTGTTGATGATAGGCGAGCATCTGTTGCGCCGACTTCAAGAATGTCGTCAAAAGACTCGCGCCACCCCAAATACTCGCATGTCGCAGGCCTTCCCCTCTTGCCACTTTGATATTGTTTAATTTACACGATTTTTCCAATTCCAACATTTCACGATATAAATAATCCTGCCTCTGCAAAATATAATTTGATTGATACAATATTGATCTATTTATCAATCTGTTATTATATTCGTGTAGTAAGTTTATAATAGAAACAATTTGGAAAACACTGTAAATTTAAAGAAAAAGTTTAAATAAAAATATGTAATGAATTGTGATAATTGTAATTAAAAAATTTGTGTTTCATAATGATATACAAACAAATTGTTTTTATTTCTTATTTAAATTAGAATTAAAATAATTCTTCTTTTTTTACAGTTATTGAACTTACCGCGTCAACGTGAATATAAAATAAATGCGAGGGATGATATAAAATACTGATAAGTCGTTTCACTTGCCGACTCGCTCTACCGTTCACCGTCAGCAGATAAGCTATTCGCACAGGTTGTTCGATTTCATTTTTTAAACTCGAATTTCTTGCCTCTTGAGGTTTAAATTCTGTCGAAACAAAAAATGCTCTTTAATAATACTATAGATACCTACATTTTATACTTGCACTCACATACTTTGAATTCCAGTCCAATATATATTAATAGTTAAATAACCACCACATGTCTGTTTTGAATTACCGGAACACTTCATATTGCAGCTGGAATCTGGTAAACGTTTCGTCTGTAGCGGTTCTTCCATTCCACAAAAACATTCTACCCTAAAATCAGATGATGTTTCAAAAGGGCTGCATAGCATGTTCATATATATATATATAGAATGACAAAAAGGTTTGGCTAGTTTTTTGTTTAGCAACTAACATTAGTAACATATATATACAAGAAACAAACCTTTGGAGTGTTAGTTATATCTCATTATTATAAATATCAAAAATAATTAACATTTAAAATAGATACCTTTAACCTTTTGAAACATTCTTTAAAGCCACTTCAGGACCATACATTATTCTACAAATAAATTCTCTCAAACAGCTAAAAAGAGTCCTTCTAATATTCCTTTTAAAAGTCCTTTTAATATTTTTTTTTTGTAATAAGATGTATCTAGTATTCCAGAGTTAATTTTTTAAATTGTATGTTACTATCCACGTAGCAAGCTAATATTTGTCTCATTTTAATAAACCATCCAAATGACGTCTTAATGTCAATAATATTAGATTGTTACACAAGTAAGTAGATAAACACAAAATGTGATAAAATGTTTTGTGGTCAAACTTTTTTGTCATCAATTATAGATTTGTTTCAATTATAG